CCAACTAAGCAAGCCAGAGGCGACAGCGGCAAGGAACCAAAACTCCATCGGTGGCAGAATGGAGAAAAAACCTTGGGAGAAACCAGGCTCAGTCGGGGGGCTAGTTCTCCTCTGGCCAGACGAACCAACATTTTGTGGTTCCTCGAGGTCTTGCTGAGGTTTTGTGCAAATGGCCATATAGTTGATGAGGCCTTCTCTGGGGATCTGTCTGTGGGGCTTATCTAGTTGACATGGTCTCTGCTGTCATTCAGGGCTGTAGAGTTCATCTCTAGGTCCTTATACACCATCTGGTCAGGATATGGACTGGATCAGGATGGCTATGGTGACCTCAGAATAAGAATGAAACAGACAAATATTAGCATAGATGCCATTTTTCTTACGATGTAACGAGTACATTGGGTGGTATGGGAAGTGTTCCTGGTTGGCCTAATTAATGCAGCCTAACAATCCTTTCAAGAATTATAGAAATGTGATAGTGTATTATGTGTATGCCAAGTTAAAGAGACGGGTCTTTAATCTAGATTTAAACTGACAGAGTGTGTCTGTCTCCCGAACAACGCTAGGTAGATTGTTGTGGTACTCCATACTGTACTTGTGATCGATATGATACCTCTTCATTCACTGCTACGAATAGATGACGGTCAGTTAAGCACAATATGAACCATGGAATTCCACTAATGCCAACATCATTTTCTAGCCTATTCAAAAAGAATGTTGTGGTCGATTGTGTCAAATGCAGCGCTAAGATCCAGTAGCAGAAATAAAAAGAGAGAGAGCAGCACCAGTACTATATGGAAGTAATAATTAAATTTGCATTTTTGCTCCCTTAGTTCTGTTTTTTTCAGAATTTAGCAGTAGGAAATTACTAGTCATCCAATTTTATGTATAAAATATGCATTCCGTTAGTTTTGCGAATTGGTATATTTCGTCACGCCGCAAAGAAATATATAGCTGAGTATCATCGGCATAACAGTGAAAGCTAACACCATGTTACCTGATGATTCCCCCAGGCGTAACATGTAGGGTCCAAAGGTCCTAGTACTGAGCCTTGTGGTACTCCATACTGTACTTGTGATCGATATGATACCTCTTCATTCACTGCTACGAATAGATGACGGTCCGTTAAGCACAATATGAACCATGGAATTCCACTAATGCCAACATCATTTTCTAGTCTATTCAAAAAGAATGTTGTGGTCAATAGTGTCAAATGCAGCGCTAAGATCCAGTAGCAGAAATAAAAAGAGAGAGAGCAGCACCAGTACTATATGGAAGTAATAATTAAATTTGCATTTTTGCTCCCTTAGTTTCGGAAATATATTTTGAACCAATCACCCGAGCTGTTATGCCATGTGACTAATTGGCCATAGTAAAATGGCGTCCTGACTTTGGTTGGCTGTTTGCACCACTAGAATGCACAGAGAAAGCACACAAGCTGATGTTGTTGGGACAAACCTGACCATGCTAAATAGCCAAATCTTGACCCCTTGACCCAGTGCATCTTGGTACGGCATGTTTGAATATAGGCAAGTGTGAATGAGATTTGAGAGCTACCGGAGAGCAGAGTTTTAACAGCCGAGCAACTGCCACTGAGATGAATAGGAATACTAACATGTAACATCGCACCAGGTATTACATGCATTTATGTCTTTAAATACGTTTAAAATAAGTTAATAAATAAAATAACTTAATATAAACTTTCATTTTAGATACACTCCTCCAAATATAATTAAATAATAAACAGGCCATATAAAAAGATTACTAATGCACTAAATGTGTTTGTGTGGTGGGATTCTGCTGATAGAAATGAAACTTTGTGGTTCTCTGGGACGATTTGGAAGCAAAACGTGATGCGCACTTGATTTGTAAATCTGGGACCATGCCATTGTGTGTCCCTTTCTGTTGACAGTTGAGTTTTTTTGTACTTCCTCTTTCAATGTAAAGTAATTCTGTGGTTTCCAAGTATTTGATGCAAAACCAGCATTTTTTTGCTTATACAAAAAATCACAAAATATTGCCTGATCATTTGCATTTGTTTGATATTTTGCTTTATATTTTGCATTATCCAATATCCAATGAAATTACAATTTAGACAACACATGACAATTTGTAACTATTATACGATTTAGCAAACTGCTTTATTAAAAATTATAAAAAATGTCACGTTTTAGCAAACTGGTTGCGAATTCTTATCTCATTTGTAAATTTTTGATTGACTTGGTCACGCCCCACTGAGGATTTTGTTTCAGGGTTCAAGTTCATACTTTTTAAATTAAAAAGTGTATATTTTCATACATACTGGCAAGTTGGTGGCAAATTCGTGTGAAATTCTACGACCTCATTCGTACGTTTTTGGTTGACCTGCTCACGTCCCACTGAGGGTTAAGTTTAGAGGTGCAGTTTCACTATTTTTATTACAAATCATATTTTTTTTGATTACCACAGATGTGTTCCAGCTCTAAGAGTTAGTGCACCCTCAGTGCTGGTGAATTTATACAAAATTGTGACTATATATAAAAAAATAAATTTAAAAAAAAGTTGGTTGATAGCATTCATTGCTTTGATTATATGAGTTCCTGTGGCAGGGTTAGCATAAGGAGCCACAGAAGCATTAAGGCAAGACTGATGATTGTTGATCTATCTCTACAGTATACTTTTGTCCCCCATACACTGTGCCAGCGGTCCCCTGTCCCCCACTGCAGTACTGATGATGAGGACCCCGGGGGACGCAGTCCACCCTTTGAGGTATCCGAGGGTGAGGACGACAACGACAGACATCCAGGCATCTCCAGCACTCTATCAGGTGAGCTACAAACAAAAATGTCTCGAGTCCGAGACAATATTTTCATGGTCTTGGTCTTGTCGTGGACTCAACCTATGTAGGTTTCGGCTTGGACTTGGTACCCAAATGAGCTGGTCTCGACCACACTGTAGCGTACTACAATAGCACTCTTATTATTTCTGTAGTATGAATTAAAGTAAGCACATTACCAAAAATATTAGTCCCAAGTTTCTACTTTTAAACCTTCCAGATCATCTGGCCCCATTATAAGGTAATCAACAACAGTTCACTAATGCTATCTACAGATCTTGGTTATGCTTTATTTTTGGTTACACTCCCATTAGAGCATTAGTAGACTGTTGGGTTAGGGTTAATAGAATAAGTTGACGTGTACTTGCAAAGTTACCTATAGTCAATAGTATGTCTGTTGAGGACCATCAGAATGAAGTGTTAGCAGATATTAAGCAGACAGTCTACTAATACTCTAATGACTGCTAGTTGCAAAATTACCTAGTCAATAGAAATATAAGGAATCACATTAGGTATCAAAAGTGGCGAGCCATCCAGACTTTAAACTGAACGTCAACTTCTACAGGAAACAAACGGAAAGTGCGTCTCTATCAGTTCCTCCTGGACCTCCTGCAGGACGGAGACATGCGGGACTGCATCTGGTGGGTGGACCGAGAGCGAGGCATCTTTCAGTTCTCCTCCAAACACAAGGAGACACTCGCCGGCCGCTGGGGCCAGCAGAAGGGCAACCGCAAGAAAATGACCTACCAGAAGATGGCCAGGGCCCTGCGCAACTACGGCAAGACCGGCGAGGTCAAAAAGGTCAAGAAGAAGCTCACGTACCAGTTCAGCAGCGAGGTGCTGAGGAGGATGACTACGGACAGGAGGCAGTATCATCACTGAAACTCTGGACACAAAACATTTCCTTTAGATCCAGTGTCTCTTACCTACAATATTCTCAGATTCTCTCCTCTGCCATTGTTCTGCAGCAAAACATGTAATCTCAGGGATATGTAATATGTATAGGTAATATAGGGGTATAAAATATTTGAGTAGCTGACAAATGGACATGGACAATAGACATTTTTAAGGTCAAAGTGTATGTATTTTTAAAAGAGTACATGCTTTCATGTTTTGATGCTGTAACTGGTTTGTTTTCCCCCCACTTTTAAATTGTCTTGATTTCACTATTGTTACATTTCAATTGTCCAGTGGTGTGACAAATGCATTTGAAAAGGTATATTTCATGTAGTCTCTTAGTTAATATGGTTATGAAAACTGCATGCACAATTATACTACAATTTTAATAATATAATTCTAATAATAATGTTACACTTATAATAATAACATTACACTTCAGGACGTTTACATGTATTCAGCTATTTTGACACATTTTGACTTCCATATGCTTCATCCACACAAATTAGCAAAGCTTTAACTTATTTTATGCCTAGTAATGCTAAAAATCTGTGTTTATATTATGCAGAGGCATCCCATCGCTGAATAAATGAACCTGGAAGTCCTTCTTGAAAATAGCTTATTTACTTCCTGTTGGGTTCCTATAGCAACAAAGATCCTTAAGAGATTCAAGACTTAAAAAATAGATTTTTTGAGTCACAACCACTGATCTCTCTCTCTCTCTCTATATATATATATATACAGATCAGTGGATACAACATATAATTCACAAGGAGCATTTTTGGGAAGAAAAAAAATATATATATTTAGTATTGCTATCTACTCTGTTCATTTTGTCTTTTCTGGATTTCAGTTTGTGATATAAACAACCAAAAACTAAAACACCATTTAAATAGATAATTTTATGTCTTTTATCACATTTTTTTTTTCATTTAGCAAGGATGCATGAAATTGATCAAAAGTGACCGTAAAGACAGGTATATAATACTTATAATATTACAAGCAGTTATTTAAGTAGTAATGTTTCACATTATTGTATTACTGTATTTTTGATCAATTACAAGCTGCCTTGGTGAGCATGAGACAAAAACACAAACAAATAAACAAATCTTACTAACCCCAAACTTTTGAGCTGTAGTCCAATGACAGTCATTCAAAAAGTTATATATGAACAATAACTTTTTTCTTAGTTTTATATTTTAGTATTATTATATAGAGTATTATAGCCATCCTTTTGGTAGCTGTTAGAAAAACAGTTAATGAAGTGAAAGGTGGGAAAGAATTATTTGTCTATTTACTTATTAATTACATGCTTCCTATTAATTAGACAAGTACAGCATGTGGCAAGCATGCAAACTGGTTAATAACTACTATAATTCAGATGCAGTTTTAACGCAACTCTGATAAACCACATTTCTGTTTTTGTTTATGCAAGTCAGTTTTCCTATTCGGTCTGTCTCATTGTAATAATTTGCCATATTGTTAGGATTATAAAGTTAATGGCGATACTAATATATTTATATTATGAATTATACTTCGAATTACTTTATAAATAAAATATCTGGCAGACCATGATATGAATTGGCAATCCATAAAGTTACATTTCTAGTAATTGCAAGAATTGATGTCTAATCTAAAGAAGTTGCTCTATGCTGCCACCCAGGGGACCATGAACACACCCCACATACAACAACAAATGATTCACAGAACTTGATTTCATTGCTCTTTAGGGCTTTTCCAAAGTTATTTTCATCAGAATTCGGTTTCTGTTTTTAATGGGGAAATAATTTGTGGGCAGGAAAATAAATAGAGAGCAAAAGAGAAATCTGTAAATGATAGCACTGTCTTTTGATTTGTGTATGTAGAGTTAAATAGAAACCGAAATGGGATTCGAGTACACAATATAAAGGACAAAGCTACTAAAACAACAGGAAGTAAAAATCATAGGAAGACTGCGTAGCAAATGTGTGCAACTTTTGTCAAATTTATTATTATCACATTGTTTTTGTTCAGTTCTTAAGTTAACAGCGGTCTCAAAAGAGTAAATCCTAAAAACTAGATGTATGTAACAGGCTTGTGCTGTAGAATTGAACGTCATGGTTAAAACAGAGGCATAAGAAAATATTCCACATATCTGGTATCAGTGTGTCCTGCGGAAACAAGACATATGTCATAGGTGTATTATGCACCAGAAATACTAAAATTCAACATTTAGAAATTTCCCATAATCTGTATACTTCCCTTATAATAATCACACACCGACAAAAAGCAATAAATCACCCACTAACGTCTTTATAAGTATAGAACAATTATCTTTAGACCGATAGAAATATCATCAATCGCCAGAGATTGAAAATAAGCTAGACCTCCACTATGTTAGTGTATGTTTTTTAAATAACACTTTTCATATCTCTCTGCTTTAGGTTATTAAATGCACCATGTAATATATATTCCAACTGTTGTTCATTGTGCTCTCATTTAAAAATCAACAAACACTGCTCTCTGTTTAGGCTCGGCTGGAAGGACTCCATAGTGATGGCATTTTGCTGTCTTGAGCAATAATGACATGATGTGCAAGCAGCAGCTTCCCGTTCAGTTGTTGGCGGCATCAGCATGTCTGGGCCAGTTGTCTTCCTCAGAGGCGGAGTCAAACTCTTCCTCTGTTTCTTTGGGAGGAGCTCTGGATCACAAATACACACACACAAAAATCTAAGTTTATTTTGCACATTCTTAGTTGGGACTCCAGACTCAAAAACTGACTAGGGAGCCGCTGAGTCCTAAAATGAAACAAAAAGTCAAATGACTTTTTGAGTTGCCAACATTACAGGTTGATATGGATCTACTCATTTGATCTACTGAAGTGGCTGATTTAAAAAAAAAAAAAAGATCTGAAGATCTGAAAGGATTGGACTGATTCATTAAAAAGAACCAGCTCCAAATCACACTTTATGTAAAAGAACAACAACAAACAAAAAAGATTGCTACCAACTACATTAGTTCAAAGCCTTAATTTTGTTGCTTCAGCTTTATGACTAATGAAAAACTGTCAAAACCTGTACCTAATGTAACGTGGTCCACATTTGCCCTGGATCACCTCCTTTGTCAGTTCCACAGCAATGATGTCAGATTGAGGCACCTCAAACATGGGCTCCAGCAAGAGCTTCTCCTGAAAGATCAGAGATGACACACATCAGAGATGTACCTGAAGGATTTACAGCAGAGATGTTCAGTCCTGCTTCTGGAGTGACAGTATTTTGGAGTGTTTAACTCCAACCTCATTTAAACAAAACACCTCAAGCAGCTACTCAAGGCCTTCCAGACAGGAGTGTTGTGGTAAACTGCAGCTAAACTCCATAGGACTTTGGACCTCAAGAAGAAGTTTCGGACATACTTGCCGCATTTACATTACATGGTTCAAGTAACCTAATTCCGATTTATTCCTCCCTCCCATGTGGCACAGATCGGATATGACCAAAGAACAGGAAAAAGCGCATCGATTTTGATATGTGGAAATAAATCTGATATCAATCGGATACATGCATTTGCGTCTGCCATACCAGGACAGATCGGATATTCCTGTCAATACAAGTCATATGTCATTGAAAAAGCCATGCTAGCAAATGATGTTGACTCAGGTGGATGATTTTCCAGGTTAGTACCAGCAGTTTTGCCAAGTCTGCGGCTTTCCTGCAGAATTGGGCTTATTTTAAAAAGTGAGTGAAGTGACGTGTGGCCAAGTATGGTGACCCATACTCGGAATTTGTGCTCTGCATTTAACCCATCCAAGTGCACACACACTGTAGTGAACACACACACCGTGAACACACACCCCCGGGGTCTCACCTCACACATTCATAGTCATATGAATCATAGTGGCCTATGATTCAGTCATAGGCCACGACTGCCCTAATGGTTTACACTGTTGCCATGGGTTGCTTTTTAGTGCATAGGTTAAAGCGATCTCTCCCCCTTTTTTGACGGAGGGGGGATCACCACCACACGGGAAACCCGTGGAAAAAACATGATTGGGCTAATTTTGATTAGAAATTGGGCTGGTTTTGTTTCGCAAACCTGCCAACCCTGTTTCCGGGTCAGTATATCTACCCTGAGTTGTTTCGTCAAGTGTACAGTGTAAATGCAGATATCAGATATGGGTCACTTTTAAAAGAAGATGTATGCTGGTCGTCAGAAAAAAATGGATGTAGTCAACAAATCGGAATTGGGCATCAAAAACTGCAGTGTAAATGTGGCATTACAGAATTCATATCTAAAAGAATAAGACCACAAGAACGGACAGGCAGATCTTGAATGAGGCTTTGATTCCTGTTATTTACCATGATGGAGCGGAGACCCCTGGCTCCTGTCTTCCGTTCCAGTGCAAAACGGGCGATTGCGCGTAATGCATCTGGGGTTACATTCAGCTCACACTGAAACAAAAAAAACACAAAACCAGAAGATGACTAACTAGACTTACTACTGCCCTAGCAAGAACCACTAAGGAGTATGAAATATGGGTTACACCATGGTGTACTTCAGGGGTGTCTGATCCGGCTCCTGGAGGGCTACTGTGTTTAGCTGAGCTGAGTTTAGCTCCAACCCTAATTAAACACACCTGAACCAGTTAATAAAGGTCTTCAGACTCACTAGAAACTTTCAGGCAAGTGCGTTGGAGCAGTTTGGAGCAAACACTGCAGGATATTGGCCATCCAGGAGCAGGATTGGACACCCTGGTGTACATGTAGCATGATATACATACTTTATCCATACTGAAGAGGGCCTGATACTGAGGGATCACTGCATTACGAGGCTCTGTAAGGATCTGCACCAGCATCTCTTCATCCAGACTGTGCAATGGCACCACCACAGGCAGACGGCCCACAAACTCTGGGATCATGCCAAACTCCATGAGGTCCCGTGCTTCAACAAGCCGCAGGAGCTGGTCCTTTTCCTCAATCTCTGCCATTGCGTCCACATCATTTCCTGAGCTGTTGGCCAGATCTGCAGCTGCTGCAGCTCGACGCCCTTTGCCCAGGTTAGAAGGAGTCCCAAAACCAAGATACTGCAGGGGACATCAAGAAAGTGTAATATACTGATAGTCAGATCAATTTTGAAGAACCAGTAAATAATTATACTGTAGAAAAATCACCTTTTCATTTTTCCTACGGCTGATGATCCTGTCCAGCCCATTGAAAGCACCTGATGCCACAAACAAAATGTTGGTTGTATCCACTTGTACGGTCTCTCCTCTCAACTTTCTGCTGTTCTTCTCTGGAACATGAACAATTGTTCCCTCAAGCAATTTCAGCAAACCCTGCACAGACAAACAGGAACATCAACATCCAAAGAAATTACACAATGCAAAAAGGTTCAATTCTGCTGGAGCT